GGGAAAACATAAACATCCACGGACACATCACACGGGCAGTACACGCAGAGAGTTTCAGTAACTACTGCAATGCTCTTCCTGTTATCCACAGTATTATTTGTGGATAATTGGGAGTCATGTGGGCAAAAAACTATTCAATTATCGGCAGGTTATCCACGGCTTTGACTGGCACTTTTTTCAGGCATTCCTTTTGGGAAAATCCCATCGTATATTTTTCATGTTGGGGGTGATATGTGGAGTTCATTGGCAAATTCATCCTGTTATGTGCAATCACGTGTGCTCTTTGGGGACGTCACGTCATAACTCCTATTACCCACAAATATGTCGCGATAAACTTTGAAACAAGACAATTTTAATTTTACCAGGTAAGGCCCACTGAGCTATACAGCTCTCTTACAGAAGCTCAATGAATTGGCTTATCACGTGGAAACGTATAGCAGCCAAATACTCTAAAACGCGTGATGTTGATTCTAAATGTCGAGGAAAGGACCGGAAGACCTGGAAAAAGATCCAAGCGACCATGGGGAGAACATGCAAACTCCAAATATACAGCAGCAGGCATCAGGGTTGGGATGGAACCCACGACCTCCTGCATACCAGGTGAGGCAGATGCGTGCTTTCCCACACGTGTGATGCATATCCCTTTTAAGCTGTACACATGGCTCCTTAATTCACTTGCATTTTAATCCGGTCACTTTCATTATTACTTTGTTTCTTCGGTTGGAATTTCTGAAAGAGCCGCAAGGGTTATAACCTGCAAGGTCTCCCCAAAAGCAAGATAGAGGCCTGAAATATTTTCTTAGAGGGCTTATGGTAGGCTGAGGTCAATCAACGATGTTGGTTTTTTTAAAATGTAAACACCATGCTCACTCTGCTAAATTCTTAATTCGTTCCTGACATCTCTGTTCCTTGGAAGTTCTTTGAGTGAACAATTCCCCCTGGTCACCGATGATATTACAGGTAGGATCCCCGAAGGTCTACTACCTACTTCGCCATGGATCAGGGCAGTTCTGTTCCACTATAATTATACAAAATCTACGGCAACCGTTGGCACCTGACTCAGTGCTGAGCCTAGGGCTCATGCGCCGCTGTAGTTTATTTAGTTTTATCGTCAGCAAAAAAAAATCTGCATTTATTTCACCATTGTAGAAGAGAGAATACTGCAGTCTGAAAGACATGATTATTTTTGTTCAAAGTTCTGCCCCTTAGCTGTGTCTAGACAATGTTTGCGGTGTCCAGGTACTCACAGTAGGTTGCACCTTGGGTTACGATGGAATTAGTGTTTTGTATGAACACCGGAAACATTCATGCTGAGAAAATGCTCCGGTATAAACACTGCTGAAAGCTCAGTGTAAATCACCACAAGTGGACTCTTGCACAGACCATATAAGAGCACCGGAAACTCGATGACCTCAACAAACCGGTGAAATATATACTTCTTTTCAGAAAACGCTGCACTTCCTTGCATTTTAGTTGAGATCATTGTTCCTACGATTTGCGTCAGCTAGAGTTTAAAAGGAGCACATTATTTTTTAAACATTATATTCCAATTGTTCTCTGGGAATAGTATCGCCAGTGAAACAAAGACACTGTGTAAGGATGAGATGAAAAGACTACATGTGATTGATGTGGTGCGACAGAAGAACGGAAAGAGCGAGCTCGCCTGAACAAGCTCCCAACATACGGAGTCAGACATGGTGACGAACAACACGTGGCACAACCCAAAATCACATCAGTGAGCTATTCAAAATTGAAATGTAAATATCGTTCACGGTTTGCATTGCATTGTTTCTATTTCCTGTATCGTTTGTGCCATTCTGTCACGTTCGCACGACAGCGCAACCGGGAAACCCTACGCAGTGGTAACAACCTCGCAATAAGCACAGCGCTGGCACGAGCAACATGTCCTTACGTTACACTGGTAGGAGGGTGAAGGGCAACTGTTGACAAGAGGACAGCTTTGAATGCGAGGCACAGCTGGCATTGCTCCTGAACGGTGTGTTTATCGCCAGCCCTCAGCTGCAGCTCAAAGCGAATGGAAATTGGAGGCGATATCAAAAGGCCGACACGATGATGTGTTGAATGTGCGGGAATCGTGGTTGGGGGTGTGGGGTAGAAACGGGTCATTGTCGAAGGCACATAAACAGCGCGCAAGGGGAGAATGGGGGATGACTCACGCTCTGGGGGATTTGCAAATTAAGAACGGTGCTGTCGTTTACCTTTTGATGAGGATTAATTGCCTCTTTAATTAGCTTTATTATATACATCTGATGAGGGGAATTGGAAAACAACATCACACCAACGTCCCACAATACAGGGTCATTTACACACGTGACTGCCTAACTTCAACTAGAAATTACAGTATTGATATGCGTACATTTCGATTGCATTAAGTAACATAAAGCACGTATTTAAAGCTTTCGTGACTGCAGGGATTCATCTTCTTGTTTCTTTCGGTAAAGTCACGTAGAATGGACGCTGTCTTTCTGACAGACCTGTTCTTCACCTGAGGACGGATGCTTGTGTTGTGGCCGAAACGTCGTGAGCATTATTTTATTATGTTTTATTTTTATTATTTTATTATTTCCATTCTACGTGACTTTACCGAAAGAACCAAGAAGATAAAGCACGTAGCTTCTTCCCAAAATGATCCCTTTTGCTCGGGCACGCACTCCGCCAATCTTTCGTGATCGTAAACAAATGCAAAAATGTGCTTCACTGACAAAATGTGAATCCGTGCAGCAGGTGGTTGCAAATTTATGAAAAAAATATTTCTTCTTGGCATCAATCGCGACGGAAAGCAGCGGCCCGCAGATGATGAGAGATGCCATGCAAGCTCGCCGCTTTCTGACGAACGCGTTCCGTACAGGTGCCACGATCGTGTGCAGCCGACGTGACTTTTGTACGGAACGTGCTTGTGAATGTGCAGTGAATGCAAAGAGGCAAAGGGGTTTTATTCTTCTTCTTCTCAGTTTAATCCCAAACCTCTCCACCCAGCATTAAAATCTCTTTGTCTTCCTTTGCACAGTGTAGTAGTAGTATTATTGATCTGCACAGAGATCATTGGAAATAAGGTCCTGTGGCCAATCCCTGCTTGGAAAAACGTAGCAATCTCGCGCAATTTTCCCAGACAAATTTGACCACGGTGTCGGCACACAATGCTCCAGTCGTTTTATTGTCATGGGATCTTCCACATCAATAGGTTAGAGCAGACGTGCATGTAGCCTGCAAAGGACAGGCCGAACTTCTGTGCTAAATTCCTCCCACGAGGGCTTAAACTACATTTTGTTGAACCGGCAAAACCCGAGACTTAAAAGGAAAATGCGCTAAGCTTCCCGGCCCACGCCAAATATTCGCGAGCGCTCGGGGAATGCGCCGCCCGTCCGCAAGTGCACACTTGTAGCGAGGTTAGGGTGGAGAGCGGCGGTGAGATTAGCCTTCATTCTTCGGAAGAAAGAGAGAAAAATAAAACAAAAACGATTTGCTCCGCAGCTGTTTCCCCCGCTGGAGATGTCCGGCGGAGAGTTTGGGTCGTGGCCGAGCGGCAGCGGGATTTGGCGGTTTCTTGCCGAGGTTTCTCGGTTCAAGTCGGAGTTGGTCGCCCCCGGTTAATACTGCGGGGCTTGGTTAACCGTGGAATGCTTCGGCACAGCGTGCGTTCGCGATCTCGTGGCGTTATTCCAAAAGGAGTAGGCCCACCGTCCCTCGTTGGCCGGTGTCATCGTCAACATTTGCCAAATTTCAATATTACTCGCAAATGACCGCGGGGTGTGTTAACCGTGAAATGCTGCGCGTGGCGTGTATTCACGATCTCGTGGCGTTTTTTCTTAAAAAGAGTCGGTCGCCGTCCCGTGTTGTACCGGTGTCATGGTCAAATTTTTCCAGATTTCAAAATTACTCGCAAATTACTCTAAGTGGGCAAAGCCACAGATTAACTTTGCTCCCCATACTGGTGGACTATACCCACTTGTGAAAGGTGTCTTGATGAATTTGTTGGTTTTTTTCTGAAACACAGTGCTTTCCTAATAACCTTTGTGCTCTAAGAATAGCGCAAATACCAAAGCAAATGTACAGCACTTGCCAATCTATTTCTTACTCCCGCAGTGCAGTCGTATAGCACCTCCGATAAAACTAAACGTTAGCTCCGAAGCTGTTTGTCTGTATAAAATGTAATTCTCTCTAAAAGGTCTGCATTGCAAAATGCATAGCAGAATCATTGCACAGAAATACAAAACACGAATAACAATAATAACTTTAATCTTCGACGGTCACATTTGCATATACAGTCTGTCTTTCCGTCTGACTGTCTGTCTTTCCGACAGCTCTGTTCTTCACCTGAGGACGGCTGCTTGCGTTGTGGGCGAAACGTCGTGAGAATTGTATTTTATAATGTTTTATTTTTATTATTTTATTATTTCCCTTCTACGTGACTTTACTGAAAAAACCAAGAAGATGAATCCATTGTCATGCTTGTACAATGGAAACGATCGTGTGTGCTTCATTGCTATGGATTTCTTTTGCAACACTTAGCTATGATTTTCAGTCTCATTTAAAGAAAGTTCTCAAACAGCATACTACTTTCTGGGAAGGGAAAAAAAATATCCCACGTTTTTTTGTCTTTTTTTCGTGCCAAACATTGCTTATGAATGTACAGTACTGGGGTTGTTTTCCTCCCACCCACCATTGGGAATCAAGACCTCTCTGTTGCTTCTTTTGGCTTAAACCACCTTGCCGTTTGACAGGTGTGACCGATGTTCGCATCGTATTTGTTAACCCTTTGAGAACTTGCGGATGCACATCACAGGGCACAGCATGCTTTCGAATCGCTGTTAAGCTGCAGCGTTGCGGTTGCTTTTTTTCTTCTTGTCATTTTATACCGCATCAAAGAAATACACAAACTCGCACGGAGGCGCATAAGAAATGCAGCACACGACGGAGCAGTGAATGTTTTTTTGTTGTTGTTGTTGCCGAGGTGAGAGCAAGTAAAAAAAAGCCCTTACCTTCTCGCTAAACGTTATTTCGTAATCCAGGATGACGCTGTTGGGATGCTTCGGCTCTGACCACGACAGGGCAATGGCGTCTTTAGATATTCGGTTTTGACGAACGTCCAATATTTGTCCCGGTGCTGAAAAGCAAAAAAAGGAGGAAGAAAACAAATCCGGTTACTCAATCTACTTTGTTTTCTGGCTTCTTGAATACCAATGACAAAAATATTAAAAATAATCCTGTTACATTCATCTACACGGATTAGAATGTGACAGACAAACGCTGATAAAGCCGACACAAGCAGTTGGGGACAAGTGCTGTTTGCGAGTTGCGATGAAAGCTGGCCAAGGGGTGGTGTGGCTAGCACAAGGGGTGGTGTGGCTAGCACAAGGGGTGGTGTGGCTAGCACTGCACCACCCCTGCTGCCTTTGTCTCCCCCAGTGCTCATGTTGACGTACCGCAAAAGGTACTGACTTAAGTGCCGAGTCAGCCTTGTGGCGGGGCGGGTGGTGGGAGGGGAATGCCCAGGATCGGTTCGGATATTTGCAACTGACGAGCAGGAATAGAACTTGCGTTGCCGGAAAGATAGTGCAGTGCGCTAACCACTGCGCCACCACTTCACAGAATACGTATATATATACACATAGCACACACACAACAACAACAACAAATATGACATTAGAGGTGGCCGGTCAGCATCCCAACTCGATAATAAATTGCATGTTCAGCTCTTGAAAGCTGTTATCCTGAACTTTGGCGGTTTGACGAATCCAAATGTTTCCTTCGGCTTTTGCCGCAAAGTTCTATTTATTATGCCACACGACACGTTGCGTGGGAGACAGAAATGCGCAAAAACTCATTACTTAATTCAATTCACCTTTGCCACGGAAGAAATCACCGCGCTCTTTAGGGAACGTGCACGCGCGTTAACACGTTTGAGCGGGAATGAATTGGGGCTCTCGCACTCGCCACGCTGTCCTGGTGCGAGGGGGGGATGCGACCCGTCCCCCCTCGCGTCTTCAACACTCCCCTCATGCAATTTCCGTGCGTCAAGTGACAAAAAAAGAGAAGTGATTCGCAAAGTGATTTATCTCCCGTTTGTTAAAATTCCTTAATGCGATTTTGGTTTCTTCGGACGCACGTTTGTTTTATTGCTAAACTCCAACTTTCATTAAACATAGTCATCCGTAATGGTTTGTTAGCAACAGATGCTGTTTTGACTATTCAGCCAAACCATCCACCCCACCCCCCCATCAATTTGTATGTATTTGTCTGCATTATAGCGCAAAATTAGAGCACAGAGAAAACTAGCAGACGTAGAACAGCCAAATAACTATTTTAATTAAGCTAAACAAATACATATTTAACGGCGAGATGTGCGTGCGGACAGAAGCCCGAGGTATGGCTGCTGCGATGTTTCACAAATCGACTGGCAAGTGAAATTGTATTATTTCCGTTTCAAAGTTCAAAATGCAAAAATGCGCGGTGCGAATTTGAGTAGAGGAGTAGGCTGATGCGCCGAATGGCATTAAGTATTTACAAGAGACAATCGAGTCTTGGATTCCTTGGATTGATTGATCTATGGCTTAATTTAAATCGGGACATTACAATGCTCAATTCCAAAGACGAAAGGAAATCTATGCCGGTAAACTTTCGCAGCAGCAAGTGTGGTTCCTTACTGTCCACTAGGGAATACACAACTACTCTGTGAAGGCAGAAATTCCAGTTTACGTTGTTTTGGTTTGATAGTTTGTGTAATTTTGGACACTGTGAAAGAAAGCTTCGTCTCGAATGGCTGGAACTTAGAATTGAGGGCAGCACTCACAGGTAGTAATAGCTCTGTTTGTCACATAGCAATTACCAAAACCTCAATTCTCTATATGGGCAAAAAGAGCTCAACACATTCATCAACAGGGACAAAAAATAAAACAAATCTTCACTATGGGAACCTCATTTGTCAGTAAAAATATGATAATTGGTTTTTTTACCCTTCTATCTGGCAACAAAACTGACACCTTTTTACAAGGAGACATGATTGCATAGACCACAATACCTGCAGACGTGATACAAACAAAAGACATAACTCTGATAATGTGCACTGTCCTTGAAGTTGATTGGTCCACACCCGAGACAGCTTTCCTTACAGCCTAGTCTCACATGGGTTGGACCAGATGACGCCAGAGTTATGTCTTTGTTTGTATTATGACTGCAGGTATTGCGGTCTATGCAAACATGACTCCTTGTAAAAAGGTGTCAGTTTTGTTGCCAGATGGAAGGGTAAAAAAAACAATTATCAAAACAAATCTTATAGCACGTAAAAAATGTACATGCTATTAAGAAGGGACATTTCCTGAAACGTAACCTATTTATATTGTATGACGTGTTTTTTTGTTCTCTTAAGGCCATCGTGTTATTGACAAATGTCTTGGCATCAGAGCAATGGCATCAAAGTAACCCGGCTTCTTAGAACAGTGTGCTAACCACGGCGCCACCGCTCCCCCCATAGATACGAACTAATATTGGAACGTGGGGCCTTACGATTGTGGTTTGAATGCCATGTCAACTATGCGACCGAGCCAGATAATGACCTTCATTAAAGTTTAAGAGATTTGAAATCTAAAAAATCTGCCACATATATAAAATTTGCCACAATAGAAATTGTGAACTGCAATTTACCGTTGGTATGCTGCTGTACAGAGTGGAATTTATTTTCTTGCTGATAAATGTGTTTACCACTACACAAAGTCGTCACTGCTGACGTGCGTTTATGAGCAACTTAATGCGTAATGTTGCTGAATCTTCAATAATGTCTCCCGTGCTGTGATGTTTAATATCAAACAAAGTGGTTTCTAAAGCATATTTTACGTTACAATTTGATTATTGTTATTCTCTTTACAACATCGAAATGTGTGACAATAACAGTGCATACCACTGTGCTGAGTCGATTTAATTATTACATAATAGCTTGATATTTACTAAGCAAAAAGTGCAATCATCTCTGTCTCAGGTGTAATGAAATCCTTAGCCATTTTAATCCGATATTTCACTTCCTTGCTCAGTGTCCTTTATTGAAACAGAAGATGAAATAGACCCATTGATGCACACGAAACATCACCGTCTCTTTTGAAGATCAACCTGGGTAAATATCCACGCGCAATATTGATCAATTTGCAATGAATACAGTTTACAATTAGAATGGTAAAAAGCCATTGGCCATTAGTCGTTTGTAAACAGATTTTCTGAATAAATTGACAGCATGGTGGTTATACGATGTCATCAATTTCTGACAGCATGGGAGTTACACGCGTTATAGATTATAACTTTATAATCATTAGAGAGACGTACAATAGGATTGAGTTTACCATAGTTGAATACATATATTCATACATAATTTACATAAAAGCACAAAGACAAGATTATAAAAATGCGAAATACAATGATAAGGGAAAGTGATGTTGCGATAATCGTCATTTCATATTGTATTGCCTCGCAGCATGAGCAATGACATTGTGGCAACCCTACTTCCCATGTGCCTTCTCAAACATTTACACTCACGTTTATGTGCTGCGCTATTATCAATACACCGAATGCTCTCCCCGTAAATCTGGCTTGGTGGCCTAGCGTTAGAACCAGCAGCTCGCAATCGGAAGGTCGGAAAATTCAAATCTTGTTTGGAGGTTGGCTCAGCCCATCATCTCTCCGGATCACTAAAAGGAGAACCACTCAGTAGAGAAGTCACCGGCGGTTGTTCAATGGGTAGACTCAGTCTTGCCATTTTAATTCTGAATTTTCTGGCTCGGAGTTGTAAACATGAGATGAGCACCACTCATTCATGCACTATCGATTTGACAATGCGTACAGATACAGACGCACAATGAGAGTGATCACTCCTTCCGCATGCCAAGGTGAAATTTATAACGTGTGTGTGTGTGTGTATATATCACCTGCTAAGTGTTCTCTCGATCTAAGCAACGTGCACTCGGATGACGCAAGGAACGTCTTCATCTTTCCCGCAACTCCGATTAGCATGGTTGGCTACGTACGGTGCTAAAGAAGTTCAACACACGCACGTACAACTGGCTATGGGACGTCGACCGGTCGTCGTGCAGTTCCCACGTGAAACGGCGTTCACTCACCCGCGGGATTCATCGTCAGCCGAATGGAGGCCGACTGTGGCGGAGCCCGGGTCAGCTCGGAGACTCCGTTTGTGGCCCGCACCTCGAACGTGTAGTTGGTGTGGGCGGCGAGCCCCGTCACCGTGACCCTCCGGTCCGTCACGCCGGACTGGCGCGGGGCGAAGCGCACCTCGGCGCCGCACGGCAAGCACCGGGGGGTCCCCGCCGCACCGCTGCTGCTGCCACCATTGTTGCCGCCGTCGCCGCTGGTCGGCAACGGCTCGGCGGGCGCGCACACCCGGCACGCCACGCTGTAGTTGAGGTCGCGGCGGCCTCCCGTGTCGCTGGGCGCGCTCCACTCGAGCACGAGGCACGTGGCGTTCATGCTGGCCATGAGGGCGCGCGGCGGAGACGGGGGTCCTGTGCACAGCGACGGGGGGCGAGGGGGGAGATGCACCCCAACACGCCGCCGGCGATCATTTTGCGGGTTGTGACTTGCTGACCACCGCCCCACACCTCACTGGAGATCTGTGAAAAAGAGCTGCACAGCTAATCGGAATCTTCCTGGATAAATGCAGGTTTTGATTCTGATCGTTTTCTCGTTCGACCGTTAATTCGTTCGTGTATAAGGTACAGGTGTGGCCCTGGAATGGCTCGCCACTCTCAGCCAAAGAGCCTCCACTAGAGGCAGCTCCAGAGAGCCCCCTCATATTGGGCGCTCGTTCGTTTGTGCAAAAGGTAAAAATGAAAGTAGAGGTTTAGCCTTGGGAATGTCGCGTAAATGTAAGATGGTTGCCCGATGAATAGAACTGTTCCCAGCTGCAGGAATGCGAATGTTTTTTTTTATCCTTTATATTAAGTTCACTTGCTTGCTTGCTTGCGTGCTTACGACCGTGCAAATCTTTCGGTCGTTTTTTAACCCACTTACCGTGATCCAATCGAGCTGACATTTTCTACACAGACTCGTTGTGCGTGACAATTTATAATCGTGAAATTTTTTTCCCCAAATTTTCCACTTTTTAGGAAAAAAAAAATTTCATATTTAATTTAAAATACCAATGTGATAAAAATGAAACTCTTACTCAAGAAAAACAGAAATGAATAATAAAATAAAACCGATGCCACACATATAAAGGATTTATAGTGAAAAACTTAGTTTTTACGGGTTAATTTTTCTTCCGTTCGTTTTCCACCAATGTAGGTGAGCATTGCTCAGTCCCACTTTGAGTTTCCCTGAGGCCACACAGGTCGACGTGGCAAATTAGTCGTAATTTTGTGGCACTTCACCTGTGGAAGTTTCCTGGCTTGGTTGGGAAGTTGAGATTTGCGGTCTGGGCTGCGACCTAATGGACTAATTTCTTTGTTTTGACAACTTATTTTTTGCGGTTTGTGCGTTCTGGTGCCATTTTTTAATGTGTTTATTCATTGCTTATTTACTTTTTTTGCTTGGTAGTAGAGTTTTAATTTGATTGGTAGTGGCTATATATGGGATTCGGTTTAGCATATATAATCATCGTACTGTGGTATGGGATGTTATTAGCATCGCTTCTCAGTGTTTTAACTAAGATCAAGCGTAGGATGGGATGCGATTAGCAATGAATTGTGCAATATCAAATTAAAGTATTATTATTAGATATTCTTAGGTGTTTTCGGTAAAGTCACGTAGGTAAAACATTAAAATTAATAAAAGTAAAATAAAATAAAAATCACGACGTTTCGGAGGCAACACAAGTCTCCGTCATCAGGTGGGACCGTCACAGCCAGATTTGCTGCATCAAGTGATGCAGCAAATCTGGCTGTGACGGTCCCATTAATTTTAATGTTTTACCTACGTGACTTTACCAAAAACACCTAAGAATATGAATCCTTGCAGTCACGAAAGCTTCAAATCTACTATTATTATTAGAGATACAGCCCTGCAATTATTTACTTATACCACTGGTGACAGAAGGGCCTCCATTCGAAGAAGCTCAATGAAGCCCTCCTCGAGGATATTTTGGCCCATCCTTCCTTGCTGGGCAGACCTCTTGGCAGTGCTCACACGTTTCACCCACCACATGTGAATTAATATCGAGAAAGCATTAAACGAAATTCCACACGGATCGTCAGAAACCTACTTGCTAGACTGCCTCACGCGGCCATTTTGCTGTCCTCTATGTATGTGTCTCGAGCATACAAGCTCAGCTCAGTGTATTGCACAGGCCCCGCTTCTAAGGGTTAGCATTTCAGACATGCCAGCACCGTATATGTGACATTTTGGCAATTGTATTTTTCATGCATTTTGATATTCGCCATCTATTACAAACATGAATGAAGCATTTTATTTAGCCTATTTGTAACGGTCACAGATGCACGCGAAGGATTTGGACAAAAAACTTTCACGAGAGTTGTGGGAGTTGGCTGAATGTGAAATTGTAAAAATTGCCTCGTACTCGAATGTTTAGATATCGTTTACACTCTCAATTGCAACTTTACTGCCATGGGGCTTCCCCTGAAATGGTGCCGTGTTCCTTCTGCCAGAATAATTAAATGTATAACGTGCAGCCCTTTGTCAGTCCACTGCTGTATGAAGGCATCCCCGTGGTGTAGACGTCATGGCGGTTGTTTCACCATACAGTATTTCACCACACTGATCGGCTCCCTTGTATATTATATTATATTCATCAGCGAGCATAGCTGTTAGGTTAGCTGACCTACAAAAAGTGTCTGCCTCAATATGGGGCACCATAGTTTAAATGGGGTGCTCTTGCCGACAGCTTCGGGTAAATTCAGCAGCATCAGTTTAAAAAGCCTCGCTGCTGATGAGACCCAGAAGGTCGAATCCGGTCAAGAGTTTTACTAATTTGAACAGATGCTGCTGGGTAATATTGGTCTGGTAAGTCAATAGGACGTGGGCTAAAATGCACTTTTATTTATACGTTGAGACACAGAGTGGAGTTCTGCTTGTATTTGCTTTTATCTCACAATAGTATTAAATACTCAGCTGTGATGTCAATGGGCCTATTCGGAGGTCCAGGCTAATAAAATCATCTCAGTTCAATAAAATCATTCAATTTATATTGACATGTCCTTCGCGTCAACTTATAAAATAATAAATGATGTACTGTTTTGATTTGGTTACTGGTTTAAGGCATTGTGTGGTGTTGTCAAGCGATATTAGAACACACTAGCTCACCGTCCAGGGCTGTTTTGTTACAAGCCAGTTGCTGAATGTTCATGCAGCCCAACGTCATCAACATTTATGACACGATACACAATTGACAAAGAAATATGTCAATCCACTGGCTAGATTAACCAGACTTCACAAACCTGGTCAGTGAAGGTTGCTGAGGGGTAGTAGCCCAGTTCTGGTTTGGTTACCACTCACCACTTCTTCTGCATGATGTAGAGCAACAATGAGCATTTGACGTTGCGCTGCTTGAGCCAGATGATTGCGTTGGGAGAAGCGGAGTGGAGCATTGCTGTGATGGTGCCTCCTTTGTTTGTGTGAATCGAGCGTTGAGTCGTTTAACGTTTCACGGTCTGTTCTGGGTGACTTCAGTCACACACTGGATAGTTTTTAAAGTTAAATTTGTGTACCAAGTCCCACACCTGCCATGGTTTATGTCAGGATGAATTTTAGGGTTGTAGCCGGGAAGCTTCGCGGAAGATCAAAGTCAGGGATCGTCTGCGTCGGGTCTTTTACAGATGTGAGGCATGGCCAGGTAACTAAACTGTAAACTAGACTATTTTTGTTTTACCAGGTAGGGCCCACTGAGCTGGAAAGCTCTTTTTCAGAAGCCACCTGGCCACAAATGATATCCCAATGAAGTTGCTTATCATGTGGAAATTTGTTGCAGCCAAATTTTCTAAAACGCGTGTTTATAAATGTGGTGGAAAAAAGCCGGAAAATCCACGTGACCACGGGGAGAACATGCAAACTCCAAATATACAAGTGTCAGGGTCGGAATCGGGATCGGGATCGAACCCAAGACCTCCTGTATACCAGGCGAGGTAGTTGACATCTCGCCACCGTGGCACGCCACCACCTGAGGTGGCTGGGTTCATTGTGCATTGTACTATGCATGTGCATTAACCACTTTGCCTCCACTCCCCTATCTGGAATTTAATATAGTTGTTAACATATCTACTTAATATAGGGTAACATTTTGTTCCCCTTTTATTCAACAAACCGAGAGAAATGTTCCTTTTATTGACGAAATCTATTGCCATTCTTAAGATGTGAAAGAATATCTGATTTTAATGACATTAATAAACACACAATGTATTTACACCCTCTAACGTGTTTTTTTTTTACGAATTCTATCAGCCGTAAAGCCTTCTGGGAAGGCGTATTTCAGTAGCTATCGCTAGACCAGTTTTGATGTACTACGGTGAAACCACTGGAGCGTTTGCTTGTGTTGAACCAAAGCTGCTGAAAATAAGCCCTCCCAGAAGGCTTTGCAGTTTATGGGAAGTCTAAAACACTATTATTCTTCATGTGGAGGAGCAGGAGATATATTGTCCGCTCATTTATTTTCTTACTTATATTCTCCATGATGATGCTCATGATTATTTTGCATAATGATGTCTTTTATGGAATTTGGTCGCAGGTAATTTTACCATTTTGCATTTGAGCTATTTTACCCGAACCCCAATGCATGCTATTAACATCTATTTTATGGCAGATGGTGTGATCAAGTAATTCCCAAAAGGAAATTGCTCAGCAGTTATGGATATTGAAGCCTCGGCTCCACACACACACACTGGCGCGCTAGCGAGTGCACCGCGAGGACAGCTGTTTAACTGTGCCCTCGTAAAAATAAATAAAGGTACAGCTCTGAAATCTTTTCTCAAGCCACTGCTGCCAGAAGGAGCCACTGCCTTAGAGGGAGCCATGGAAAGACCCTCTCGTGAAGGTACTTTGACCGACTCTGTCATGCTGGCCGGATTTCTTGGAAAGAGTGGGAGTACTCACACTTCATCCCACCGCACATGATCTCCTGATCGACTAACTGCAACGTAACCATTTATACTTTTTGTTGGATGGAGGCCGGGGGATTTAACTACCACGCTGGGAGACGAAGTCGAACAGGGGACCTCTAGATTGTAAGGCCACTGTGCTAACTATTACCAATTTTCTTTGAACCTATCTACGTGACTTTACCGAAAGACCCAAGAATATGTATTACTTAATAGCAGCGTGTTTTAATTCATTTTTACGAATTAGACGCAACATTGCATATTTCAGAAGAGAAAACTTGAAAAGAAAACGGAAGGTGGCAATGGGTTCTGCAGCTTAACAAAGTGTGGACACGAGTGGCGATGTGACAAGCACCGCTGCATCACACAGAATACGGGGGGGGGGGGGGCATCAAAACAGATCGGCTCGAATGAGCCTGTGGTACTGCTGGGAAGTCGAACAGGCGACCTCCGTATTTGTCTAGCGTGCTAACCATTACAATCTTCAACTATTTGTTATATTATTTTACCAGGTAAGGCCCGCTGAGCTACATAGCTCTTTTTTTCAGAAGCGACCTGGCCACAAAGGATAGCTCAACGAGGCGGCTTATCTCCACGTGGAAATGCATAGCAGCTAAACGCTCTCTAAACGCACGTTGATTCTAAAATGTGCAGGGAAAAATCGGGAGGACCCAGAGAAAAATCCACACGACCACGGAGGGAGAGAGAGAGAGACATACAAGCTCCAAATATACAGCAGGCGTCAAGGTTGGGATCGAACCCACGACCTCCTGTATACCAGGCGACGTAGTTAAGTAAAACCACGGGTAACATCGAGGACGTCATACTCTTAGGTTTTTTCGGTAAAGTCACGTAGGTAAAAAATAAAATTAAAAGTTAATAATGGAAATAAAATAAAATAATAAATCACGACGTTTCGGAGGCAACACAAGTCTCCGTTGTCCCACCTGATGACAGAGACTTGTGTTGCCTCCGAAACGTGACTTTACCGAAAAAACCTAAGAGTATGAATCCTTGCAGTCACGAAAGCTTCAAATCTAGAATCGAGGACGTCCCCCGCGTCATCGCGGAGTTCTACCGTCGTGCTGTTTGGATTGTGCGGTTTTTCATAAAACATGCGTTTCACGACAGCACTCTCCCCCCCCCGTGCGCTCTAAGAGAACGTAATATGACCCGCTTGCGATGCCGCTCAAGGTGTTCCCCCACCGCACGGAACCGCAACCCCCGACGCGTGCCAACGTACGTGTGCATGCCATGGACTTGGGATCCGCCTTGGCTCTGTAGTAGCTCTCGTCGCACTCGCAGTCATACGATCCGGCCCGATGCGATAGGCTGTGTGGGGGGCACTTGGAACACATCTGCTCGCCGGCGATCTCTTTGTAGAACCCGATGCCAGCAGGCTTAGAGACGGGGATCAGAGTGGAGAGAGAGAGAGAGAGCAGAGGAGAGAGGATTGAAAACAAACAAACAGAAACAACACCTTGAGCCTCATTGCCAGAGGTGGTTCCATCAAAGCACGCACGCTCTCGCTTGCACAACACGTCTCACTCATGAAAATAATTTTAATGAAGACGCATGCAGCTGTGAGCACGTAGTAATAACAATAAGCACGATGAAACATTTCAATAGCACAGTATCTGTACATACCTAGATATTTCTACATATATAGACATATACAAAGATCCCCCATATAGTCTTAATAGACTGTTGGGGCAAGTGCTTTTAGCGAGCACCTATGAAGGCCAGCACAGCACGCAAAGGGATGGGTCACCAGCATCACGCTCGGCCGCCTTTGTCTCCCCAGTGGGCGATATTTACACATCGCACCAGGTGCTCATTTCTGGCGAGTCCATCAAGAGGAGGCCCAGAACCGGTTCAGATAATGATCGTCACCGGTGTTGGCTGTGAGCGAGAATCGAACTCGGGTCGCCAGCTTTGTAAGCGCAGCGCGCTAACCGCTACACTGCCGTTCCCCTTGTACATATACATCCATACACATATCCACATTTATATCTAGACATGAATATCAATACATATATATCTATACGCACACGTGTGCACACATGCACATCTTAACAGAGGACATAAACGCATACCCACACAAGACTCATGTAAACGGTGTTGATCCACTCTAAATATTTCCCCAGAGGTCAGCCTACAAAGGACCATTATGTGTAAAATTGTAAATGGGAATCTCTTCTCGTGCCTGCGGTCCACTTGGGACAGGCGCTGTTGTCATTCATCGCTGCCGGCATCTCGTCCATGAAAGCGTGCGCACAATTCGGCTATCGCCCGTTCCAAGAGCAGCGCAACGTGACTGAGAGGGCCTCCACGCAGCAACCCACTGGGCTGTCATTGGCCGGACCGCTGGCGAAGTTGGCGTTGGAGGGGGGGACCATTGCAGGGCAAGAGGCTGTGGGTTTGCCCGGCTGTGAAGCATTACGACGCGTCGCGCACCGCTGCCGAAAAGGAGGGCATCGGTTAATATCGACACTCGTGCTCAAGATGCGGGCATGAGATTGGGCACGTAAGAATGCATGTTTCACGAACGCTTGTTGGTGGCGATACGGGGGACAGATTACCGCTGGATTCTATTACCCACGGATTTATTCACAACGGTCCTTCTGAGTAGCACAATGTGCAAGGAAGAAGGACCATTGCCCAAATGTTGCCCACCATCTTCTTTTAAGTCGGTGTTATTGACATAATGTGAGGTTTTGTTTGTTTGTTGTGCTTGTGTATCACTGCCAACGCAGCATCACCAAGCGATCTGTGTGTAACGTGTACGTATGGATGATTGGGATTAGTTACAGAGGGTAGTGTAGAAATGTGGGCCAAGAAATAGCCGCGATTACAACTCGTGGCACTCAGCATTAAGAGAAGTGAATGGACTTTGACAGGACACGTTGTTTGAAGGCTTGGGAATCTGCGCGTACATGCAGTCAAGGAAAACGACAGCAGAGAACAATTGTACCCGGATGGTCTTCATGCAGTGTTGTTTTTTTGCTCCTTTGGGATTATTGTAATGATTCATATTATACACGTATACGTTGCTTCATAGCTCTATTCGCGACGCACATTAACGTTTCGTTCGTGATAGTGCAGGTTCCAAAAGAATTCAACTGTAACCGTTGCTCATTTCCTCGGTGTGGTTCTGCATGTTCAAGAAATACACCTCGCTGGTTGATGAAATTATCAGTGCGTTACTACCTGCTCTAACATATGATTCAGTCATTAAAAAAAACACACACACGGAAGAACAAACGGAAGCGTGTGCAAAGAAGCGTGGAGAGATGCACGCTTGGAATTACAACGAGAAACAGAGAGAGGAACCACGTGGGCGAAAAAACACGCACAGGTTAAATAATTAAAATTACACCGTTAACCCTCGAGACGCCTGCAAGTTGCAGGGTGGGTGTACCGTTCACCGCCGAATCTCGGAATGTGGAAGCGGGCTCAGCGTTCATTTTATTTGGAGACGCCTAGCGCCGTTTCTTTTTAAAGACATTGTACTCCCCGCAGAGAAGTGTAGCGACACAACCGCACTCTATGATCGCTGGTGCGAAACTGTCCCGCACTGCCCTCCCGCATGGCCTTGGGGGAGCCTCGAATACCGATGAAGTTATTTTATTTGAGTTATTTCCTTTTGAATCGTAAGAAAAAAACTAAAACATTGCTTGAGTTTTTTTCTTCCGAATCGGAAGAAAAAAAACTGAAACCAGAAGTACTCAATTAAAAAAACACGTACGTCATCGGAATGGAATCGGAAGAAAACCTGGTGACATGCACGTACACATACGTCATCAAAATGGGAAAGGGTTAAGAAGAGTGGGTGGCCTTGGGCAGGATGCATCACAAGGAGGGATGACCGATGGTTAAGAGCAGTGCCGGAGTGGCATCCAAAGAATGGAACGCATCCGAGCGTGACGTCCACTGGGTGAGAAGATGCCATGAGATTGGCGAGGGCGTGAGCGAGGGTGTGAGTGAGGGTGTGATCGTTTCATCGCGAAATCACGGGGGATGGCGACGGCTTGGGAAGGCCTTAAATCCAGGCAGTGAAATGTTGATGATGAGATGACGATCATTCCCCCAAGAGTGGTGTTGTTCAATGTAGTGCTTTCCCTTTGCTTCACCTTCATTTAGCACGTGTCTATCCCAAATGTGATCATCCCTTCTCGTGCATAGGCATAGGTTAATGACTCTTATCGGCTATTATGGAACAATTACACTTCCTTTATTGTGCTAATTTCTTTGTTGCTTCAATCCGTCTTCATAAGATAATTTTTTCCAGAGTAGCCGTGAATAATCACTTGACAGCATATTGGATTTTGCACAATCATTCCCAATATAGCCCAGTCAGCAGAAAAATGTGTGTGCTAACTGGACTACTCATAGTTGCCTGACAGTTGTAAGACATGATGAATTTTTAATAGCTCATGAGGCGCCACGGTGGCGAGATGTTAACTACCTCGCCTGGTATACAGGAGGTCGTGGGTTTGATGCCAACCCTTGACGCCTGCTGCTGTATATTTGGAGTTTGCGTGTCTCTCCGTGGCGAGATGTTAACTACCTCGCCTGGTATACAGGAGGTCGTGGGTTTGATGCCAACCCTTGACGCCTGCTGCTGTATATTTGGAGTTTGCGTGTCTCTCCGTGGCGAGATGTTAACTACCTCGCCTGGTATACAGGAGGTCGTGGGTTTGATGCCAACGCTTGACGCCTGCTGCTGTATATTTGGAGTTTGCGTGTTCTCCTGATGGTCGTGTGGATGTTTCTCTCCGGTTTTGTCCCTCCACATTTCGAATCAACATGCATTAAGAGTATTTGGCTGCTATACATTTCCACACGATAAACCACTTCACTGAGCTATCAGTTGTGGCCACGTCTCTTCTGAAAAATAGCTATATAGCTCAGTGGTTGCCTTATCTGGTAAAATAAAATACAAATTGTTTAAATAGTTCATTTAATCGTGTTTTTTTAAAAACAATTTCCACAAAAGGTGTCTCGAGTTTCGATTTGTTCCTATTTGTGATGGTGTAGTAAACAAAAAAACCCCAAACACCCCTCACAGATGGTCAAACAAACACTTGCCCTTATACGAAAAATGTAATCATGACGTAAACAACGCTTTGGTAGTCTACGACTTGGGGACCATCTAAAGCAGTGGTTGTTAACCTTTACTGCAGCCTTGCACCCCTTGGGTTATCAATCGTAAAATGTTTTTACGTGAATAAATACATAGGGGTTGATGAAACATGGCCGTGCTTAATTCGTTTTTTTGATGCGTTACCTTCCAAAAAAATCTGGCAACGTCTCGCAACCCCCAGAAAGGGCATCTCGCACCCCCAGGTTAAGAAGAATAACCACTGATCCAATGTGAAGCTCACCACCACCCCCCACGTCTCCTATACCCCCGTCACCTCCCCCGACTACTGCTTGCGCCAACATGCAAGAAGGTTAAATTTTTGTTAAAATTATGAAATCTCATGGCAGCTGCCGTTTGTCATCACGAGGCTCTTCAATCTCCAATCGCCGTCAACGTCCACGGAGGTTATTACCCAAACGCGGGGACAATCCCGACGACAGAGCCTCACTCGTCGCAACCCCCTTGGACGCACGCCATTTTGACCGTGCGTGTGCATGTGTGTGTGTCTCTCTCTCTGTGGCTAAATCGATGTCGGCAGGGGCGCAGCGCTGCAATTGCTTGCTCATGCAACCTGCTGGTGCAACGGCCTCCTCCCATTTGGGTGCACGCCAGAGGTCGCAAACGGGTTTTGATTCCTTACCCGTACCCGTACCCGGCCGCACCAGGGTCGCAAACGGGTACCCGTACCCGGCCGGGTACGGGTAGTCGTTCCCTACCCGTACCCGTACCCTACCCGAAATGAGTGACAAACGGTGACTCACCGGTGACTCACGGCCTACACGTACCCGTACCCGGCCGTACCAGGGTCGAAAACGGCTACCCGTACCCGGCTGGGTACGGGTAGCCGGGTATCGGGTAGGGTACGGGTATCGGGTACCCGGTTGCGACCACTGGTGCACACGTGGTTTGTACGCATGCTTGTGGAACTTCTTTGGCACCGCCGTACGTAGCCGACCGTGCTCATCGAAAGGTGTGTGGTCTTCAAAGAGAGCCACCTTATTAGAGGTGGCACAGAGGCTGATGCGACAAAAAACGAATCACAATCGGGTTTGAAAAGCAAAGGTAAAAGTGCAGCCATCGCAATGTTCACGCCACTCCTGGCAGAAAGGGCTTCCACTACGGGGTGGGTGGGGGAGTCACGATAGCCCCTTCCACAGGGTAATTGGCCTACTCTTCCACGCTGACTATACATCTTGAAAGTAGTGGTAGTGCCCTCATTTTGCCCCACCGCACGCGCGAATTGCCGATCGCCTA